ATTCACCAGGTCCGAGGATAGAGATGGCTCCACTTGATAATACCTTATTCTGCATCATTAAGCAAATTTCCTAGATGAATAAGTCTTTGATACCTTATTGTTCAAATCAGCAATCTAAAAGATCAACCAATAAAATTAACAATCCACAAATGATTTCGGAAAAACTGTAAATTCAAATACTCAGTCGCAAATGCAAATACATATTAAAGAAACAAAAAGAACTACTCAAGAAAACAAAAGAACTTAAAGAAACGGTTTAATCCGAAAAAAAATTAACAACAAGAAAATCAATATTCTGAAAAAACGTAAATTCAAATTCAACAGCATTAGACGAAAATTTAGTATAGCTTATACTAGAACAAAGAAAAAAGTGAAAGAGGGAGAAAATTAAAAAAGAAGTAAAAGAAAAGCCTTATAATGTCTAGAGGATTCACTTGAATAACGAAGTGAATCTCATGAGAGTATCGACGTTAATCTTCATCTTCATCTTCTTCGGATTTCCTTTTCGATTTCGGATTCTCCCAGCACCGCACGCAGCGCGAGGAGAAGTGAGTGGTTTGCTTCTTCTGGGGAAGAAGCACACACAACACAGTCACCACATGAACATTGCTATTCAACGCTTCTCTTCTCTCCTCTTTGTTCCACGCTCTTCTCTCTCTGTTCCACAGCTTATATAGGCACCGGAACATTGAACAGCTAGTTATCCAATGGGAGCACGATCACGGTTAGAAAAACTCTATCCATCTCCACGTGACATTAATAATTAATTAATGCCATGTGGTTATCCCTTAGCTTTTTAATATGAGTTTGTTTAAATTTATTACAAACCGGTAGAATAAATCAAGAACGCTCCTTCAGTAATTAGTTTATGGCATTTAATAAATGTTTACAGTTATTTTACAGAATATTTTATTCTTCATCCTCTCTTTTCTTTACAAATATAAAAATTTATTTTTTAATAATCATATTATAGGATTATAAAATGTTTGATACAATACTAAAAAGATAATTTCTAATTTATATATAGATTTGTACTCCTAAATCAATTATATATATATATATATATATATATATATATATATATATATTATGTGTATGAGTAGATATGGGTAATAAAATAAGAAGTCGTAGAGTTTGAAAAGTTTGTTCTTTAATAAGTTATTTTTACAGTGATTCAAATATCAAATCTTGTTCGGAAGATGTTTTAATTTAACTTTTAATTAATGAGTTTGAATTTTAAGCGACAATTCCATCCTCTCAATTAATGTGCAAACAAAATTATAGAGGTAAATATGAAAAATTATTAATGAGTTTGTTATATCGGTGCGTAGTGTATGTTATACTTTTTAAAATAACAGAGATATCATTATGAGATATCTTCTTTCGTTTTCCTCATACAATGTATTCTGTTAAGAAAATATAAATATACTTTGTTATTATTAAAAAATAGTTTTCATAGACACTTGATAAATTTAATGTTTAAAAAATATGTTTTTAAAATTGTGAAAAGCATGTCGCTTTTCAAATAAGAGAAAAAGGGGGTGCATATAACAAAAAAGAAATGTGTGTTGAGTTTTTTCGTCGTAAGAAAATGTGGGCTCTGCTGATATAAAAAGAGAGGGAGAAAGGGAGGAGCGAAAGAAGATAGTGAGTTGAGGTTTGAATTGCGAAGCGCTTCATTCTGTGTTTGTTTGATGTGTCGCTGTTAATTTATTGAACCAAAAAACGTTTCTTGTTATAAATTATGAAGCTCTTTTTTAGTAGCGATTGATCGGTAAGAAAGAAGGATGAATCAGAACCCGCAATCGAGTGATGGAAGAGGCGACGATGACACTGCTCTCTCCGATTTCCTTGCTTCCTTGATGGATTACACTCCCACTGTAACTTTCCTTTATCTCTGTTCTTCTAATTTCCCATTCTGCACAATTTAATCACTGTTCCCTTTGATTAGATACCTGATGAATTGGTGGAGCATTACTTGGCCAAGAGCGGTTTTCAGTGTCCTGACGTTCGATTGTGGGTTCCTCCTCTTCTCTCCATTTTTCTTTTTTCTTCTTTGAGGAAACAGATTATTGATTACCATGGTTTCTGCTTGGTTTCTCTTACCTTTTTGTGGCAGTTATTGAGACATCTATTTGTTTTTGGCTTAATTATGTTTGAATTTCCTAATAGATTCAGGTATTCTTAAGTTGAGTCTCTATTTAATTATTTTGTCCCATCGTCTTTGTAGTTTAACACTAATCACAATATTGTTTTATATTAACAACAAAAATTTATATCTCTTTACCCTAGATACAAGTGATCTAGATAACAAGAAAAGATAGCACTCAATACACTTAGTTAAAAGATTAGTTAAACAGAAAAAACGAACCGAAAATATAAAAATTGAGTATTTAATAAACCAAGAAAACTTAATAGGGTCTCAATTGAAAATAACCATGAATTTGCATAATGTTGACGGCTACAGTGGTTTCATATTATGATAGCTGGTCGATATTTTCTGTAAAAAAATCAAAGGCAGAACCGATCTCTAGAAGGAAATAAAAAATACCATCTTAGGAACTCAACTATGTCATGGACCCATCTCTGCTGTGTCCCTCTGCCCTTGCAGCTATTAATTTTAGAGTTTTTAAGGTATTTAGATATAAGGGGATTAACAAACAAAGGTACAAGATTAATAGTGTATATTTCTTTTATGGTTTTTGTGCAAATCACAACTCTTGTATTTATTTATTTTTAACGTGTCTCACTCTTTCATTCTTTCATTGGGATTGTTTAACATGGTGCAATCATTATATTGGAAACTGTTAATAAATTTAAGTGGGAAAATGATGAAATATGCTAGCTATTTTATTTTTCTTCTCACTCTTACTGGCTTAATTTTGGATTTCCTGTTGTGCATTGTTGTTTTCGACCTCCAATACAGTGGATAATATGTGCATGTTGTAAACTAAATTGGTTTTCAAAACTTTGGCATTTTGGTTGACTGTTGCTGACTTATTTATTGGATTCCTGACCTTTGCATTTCTTGTTCATATACTGTGAGCTTGACTTGAAACACTTGTCATTTTTTCAGGACTAGATTGGTAGCTGTTGCCACTCAAAAGTTTGTTGCTGAAGTTGCTGGAGATGCACTTCAGTATGTTTATTTTACTTGTGTTTTTGGTTGAATCTTTACCTTCTAGCTTTTATTTTATTTATTTTTAACCTTAAATTACGCCATCACAACTAACTATTCATGTGTTAGTTATCTTTAGACATATTCTTACGTTGAAGTTGTTTTCTTGTTTCCTAAAAGTTTTGAAATTTTTGCAAATGTTAGTTCATGCTCGAGAGAGGAGCTTAGGAGTGTGTACAGGGTATTATATAGCAAATGCATATACACACGCATTTCAATGGAATTATTTGCACTTAATATTTTGTGATTTTATCCCTACTTATGTAAATGTCCATAAATGTAGACTCTACAATGAGAGGACGAATGTGAATCAAAAGCTTAATATTAAGGCTGTTGACAAACTTTTGGCCCCTTGGGATAGCAACTTTTGGTATTATCCATTTAGGAAGAAGTACTGCACTTTTACTGTAAACATTCTTTTTTAGACTCACCATCTCGAGTAAAGTTGAATAGATGATATATTGGTTATATTTTATTTCATTTGATTTCAAGTCACTCTCCACTCACATATGTATGCAGAGTCCTACTGTCCTATAGTTTAGACAATAAGTGTTAATGTCTTCATAGAATGTAAGTGGCCAACTTGTTTTTTAATATTTGCTTTGGTCCAAGTGTTATTGATTTTCTTAGTTTTACCAACGTAGAATCCCACAAATTTCTTCCCTTCTTAATCATCCATGAGTTTTGTTCTTTGCTAAGTTTTAAGTGCATTGTTATTTGTTAGGCCATTATTTGTATATAGTAGAAGGAAAACCGGTACACAGACCGGTACACAACCTAACTGCCAAGGCAGTTAGAATGGGTAGTTAGGAGGTTTGTATATAAGGGCTGTGAGGGTAGCTTTGAGGAGTTAGCGAAGTAAATACTATTGTTTTGTCAGGAACGTGTTGTCCTGATCGGGAGAGGTTAAGCTCTCTGCATTGTATCTCTAATTCTTTTGTGAATAAAGAAACTTTTCAGCATTCTTGTGTTGTGTTTGAGTGAAGAGAAGTGAGTTTCCATTAGGTTCTTGATTAAAGAACCTAACATTTGGTCCGACCTGTCGGATCCAAGGAGGAGAGGAATCAGCGATGGGAAGTCAGATGGAGGGAAGATTGGACAATTTGGAGATTACGGTGGAGGGAATCAAGGAGGAGACAGCGGCGATCAGGCGCGATCTACAACAATTGATAAAAGGGATGGGTAGAGGACACAATAGTCAAGGGGGTGGCTCTGAAGGAAGTAGCAGCTCTGTGAACGAGAATCAAGTAAGGCACGACAACGGGGGAATTCCCCAAAACTGGCGGAAAAGGGTCGAGTTACCGTCGTTTGAAGGAGTGGAACCACATAGTTGGATTTACCGGGCTGAACGGTTCTTTGATATCCAGAAGGTGGCAGAGGAAGATAAGGTGGAATTGGCCTACATTAGTATGGAGGGGAGTGCGAGTTACTGGTTCAAATATTGGAGAGAAAAGACCAAGAATCGTTCTTGGACGGGTCTGAAGGCTGGACTGATTAACCGCTTTGGAGGTGGGTTTAGGGGAACCGTATACGAACAATTGGCCACATTGAGGCAAGGGGGCACGATGGAGGAATACGTTAGGAGTTTTGAGATGTTATTGGGTCAGACCCAGGGGTTATCAGAGGAGTTGATATTGGGATTCTTCCTAGCTGGGTTACGAGAAGAGATTAAAGGGCAAGTGTGAATCCAAGATCCCCAAGGTTTCATGATCGCGGTAAGGGTTGCGAGGGACGTGGAAGACGCAATGAATCGCGCACGGGGTGTAGTCTGGAACGGAGGAAGGGTGAATCCGGTGAATTTACGAGCGACTTCGACAATCGTTAGGGGAGACGGGGATCGTAACTCTGTAAGCCGATCCAATGGGGCAGAAGGAGGAGGAGCAACCCGACAGGAGGGGTCGTCAATGGCCAGTAACACCAATGCGAGGGGGAATACGATTGCCGGAGGCGAAGGTGGAGGAAGAATGGTACGAAACTTACCTTACCCGGAGTACTTGAAAAGGAGGGCAGAAGGTAGATGTTTCCAATGTGGGGGCCCTTTCGCTCCAGGCCATCGGTGCTCAGAGAAGAGCTTGAGAGTTTTACTGTTGGCGGAGGACGAGGGGGAAGAATCGAAGGAAGACGCAGGCGAGGAAACGAAACCGATGGAGCTCTCGGCATGTTCGGCGGAGGGGTTAACGCCGCCCAAAACGATGAAGTTGACGGGATTAATCGGGGAAAAGCGAGTGGTGGTCCTCATTGATAGTGGGGCCAGTCACAACTTCATTAGCCGAAAGGTGGTTGAGGAGTTGGAGCTGCCGGTGGTTGATACACCGTCGTATACTGTGAGTCTCGGTGATGGGCATAAAATGGTGACGAGGGGGAGATGCGAGAAAGTCCGAATACGCTTGGGTGACACCACGGTGGAGGAGGAGCTGTATGTGTTTGAATTGGGGGGTGTGGACGTCGTCTTGGGAATTGCCTGGTTGGCTAAACTGGGAGAAGTAGTAATCAATTGGAGAGAGATGTCGATGAGGTTTGGAGTGGGGAACGAGAAGATAACTATTCGGGGAGACCCAGCTTTATCAAGACAGTTGGTGGAACCTAGGGAATTATGGAAGATAGTGGATGGTGACTCATGGGCACTTGTATGGGAGTTAGGTGTAGTGGAGCAGGAAACAGGGGGTGAGGTGGCGCGTGATTTGACAGAGGCGCAGATAGTGGAATTACGAACTGTCCTGCAGACCTATGGACGCGTGTTCCAGGAGAGAGAAGGGCTACCTCCCCGTCGTAATTTGGAGCATAGAATAGTGCTTAAAGAGGGAACAAATCCTATAAATGTCCGGCCATATAGATACCCGTATCTCATGAAAGAGGAGATTGAAAAGCAAGTTGCAGACATGTTAAAGGTTGGTATTATAAGACCCAGTCAGAGCCCTTACTCAAGTCCTGTAATTTTGGTAAAGAAGAAGGACGGAAGCTGGAGGTTTTGCGTGGATTATCGGGCTCTGAACAAAGCCACTGTTCCGGATAAATTTCCAATACCAGTTATTGAGGAGTTGCTGGATGAACTCAAGGGGGCAAGATATTTCTCCAACCTGGATCTGAAGGCCGGCTATCATCAGATAAGGATGGGTGCAGCGGATATTTAGAAGACAGCCTTCAGGACCCACCAAGGGCACTTCGAGTTTTTGGTGATGCCCTTTGGGCTAACGAATGCGTCGGCTACCTTTCAAAATGCGATGAATGATTTAATGGCAGCATATTTGAGGAAGTGGGTGCTCGTCTTCTTCGACGATATTCTTGTTTACAGCTCCACTTGGGAAGAACATATGACGCATTTGAAGATGGTGTTGCAGCTACTGGAACAACATGGGTGGGTTGCAAATCCAAAGAAATGCGAGTTTGGAAAGCAACGGGTACATTATCTGGGTCATCAAATTTCGGAGCAGGGTGTAGAAATGGATCAAGATAAAATCAAAGCGATAGTGGAATGGGGAGCACTGAAGAACTTGAAAGCTTTGAGAGGATTCTTGGGTTTGACCGGTTACTATAGAAGATTTGTGCAGAGATATGGGGAGCTGGCCAGACCATTAACAGAGTTGTTAAAAAAAGGGGAAGTTTGAGTGGACGGAGAAAGCCAGAGCAGCCATGGCAGCCCTGAAGTCCGCTATCACGTCTGCACCAGTCTTAGTATTACCTGATTTCACTCAGGAGTTTCACCTGGAGTGTGATGCTTCAGGGGGAGGTGTTGGTGCGGTGTTGATGCAAAACAGGAAGCCCATTGCGTTCGCCCATTGTGTTCTTTAGCAAGGCTTTGTCAAAAGGATCTCTGACGAAATCCATCTACGAAAAGGAATTGATGGCTTTGGTGATGGCCATACAACACTGGAGGCCGTATCTGTTAGGGAGAAAGTTTGTGGTGCATACAAATCAGCGCAACCTTAAATATCTGTTGGAGCAGAGGATTACAACTTATA